TATTCACTTTACTTTGTCTGCAAGCTGTGTGTGTGTGTGTGTGTGTGTGTGTGTGTGCATGCCTTTTCCCTTCCCTCTTCTTGATGCCTAGAGGTACAGCAGGGGCCCAGAGCAGGAAGACAACCCTGTCCTAGTCGAACATAGCAGCAAAAACAGGCTCTGGACTTCACTCCCTCTGCTTCATCCGACCACCACAAACAAGCCCAAACTGGGTGCATTTCTGGCAAGTAAACGTTCTTCTCTGCTTCCTCTCTGCTGAACTGGCGCCAAATCCTTTCTAATGATGAGGCCCCTCGCCCAGGCATAAACGTTAGTTCGGGTGAACTTCCCAGCCTCCTCCTTCTCCCTCTAGTTCAACCCCCAAAGATGGAAGCTTAGACCTTTGCCTAAAACACGAATCATGTCATTGCCACAGTAGATCTTTCTCACAGAATTTACTTTTTAGCGTTTCATTCTCTCTTTGATATGTTCTCCACTTTTCCCTTATCTTCAAAATCCGCAAGAGGGTGTTTGTGTTGCACACCGTTGATCCGTTTTCCATCCCCGGCACCCTACAAGGTCCCCTGAGCACTGTTAGAAGTTATCCCTGAGTGCAGAGCCAAGCCTAAACATTGTTGGGTATGACCCCAAAACAACAACAACAAAAATCTGAAACCCCTCACTGGATTGCAGACACAGCTCTGCAGTCCCGTCTACCTTGGTCTGCTTCCCTCCCGCGTCCCGTTTCTCTGGGGTTTCCCCCCTTGGTGGATCGAGAGGCTGCAGCTGCCCCACACCCCGGGCTCTCCCCGGCCCTCCCAGCAGCTGCTGACTCATGCTCGCTTTAGGATTTGCTAGGACCCAGACTGGAAGAGCCCCCACCCTTCTCACAAGCCTCCCACCAGAGCCCTTCTGGGCGCCCAGCTCTGCCCTGCAGAGAAACAGCCCTCGGCCCACACGGTGGTCCCCTGCCCTGGTCCCAGTCCCGGCCCCGGCCCTGTCCCCGGCCCTGGCCCAGACGCACCTGAAAGACGTCGTTGGCGCACTTGCGGCACAGGTTGTGCTGGCAGGGCAGGATCACCACCGGCTTGGAGAACATCTCCAGGCAGATGGGGCAGATGAGCTGCTTCTCCAGGTTGTCCATGCTGTGCGCATCCGCGAGCAGCGGCTTGAGACCCACCGTGAAGTTCATCCCCTCTGCGCTTGTGCCCGGCCTGGCCCTGGCCCTGGTCCTGGCCTCTCCTCACTGCCTCTGGGCCCTTCCTCGTGGGCTCTGGACAGCCTGTGACTCCCGCCCGCCGTTCCTTTCTCTCACTCCCTCTTGAAGAGGCTCAGATGTCCCGCCCCGTCCCTGCCTGCTCCTCTGAGGGCTTCTCTCCACGCTGCTCCTCTGGAGAGTTATCTAACGCCTGCCTCCCTGCGTCTGCCCCCACCCCGAAACGTCTCCTGTCCCCCCAGTCTCTCCTGCTCAGACTCTGGATCGCACTGTCTGTCCCTCTCTCCGCAGACGAGATCAACTGCGTGGGGGTGGGGAGCAAAGGGCCCCTGCGTGACATTCCAGCTCCCAATTTAGCTCCTGTAACGAGAGCCACAGCTGTCCCCAGGGATGACCCTGACTCACGCAGCCAGGGAGGCTCCTGGCAAGAGCCGGTGCCGACCCAGCCTACGGGGAAAGGGGGTCTGGCTCTCACTCCCCACAGTCTCCATGAGCCTGGATGAGGACAGGCACTGTGTGAAGCTGGGGACAAGGGGCTGGAGGGGACTGCGAGCCAGTGGACAGTGGACATTGGCTTAGTCTGTGACCCCTCTTCCTCTGAGCCCCAGGATTCAGAACAGAAGCACCAGAGAGCAGATGGGTAAGATTGGGGGTGGGGAGGACCTTTCAATCTTTACCTGTTGTTTTATTTGGGGGCCACATCCAGTGGTGATCAGGGCTTACTCCTGACTCTACTCATGGGTCACTTCCGGTGGGGCTTGGGGTGCTGGAGATTGAACCCAGGTGGGCTGCCTGCAAGGCAAGTGTCTTAGCCTCTGCACTATCTCTTGGCCCCTGCCCAGACCTACCTAATCACCCTCAGTAAGAAGCTCAGAGGTTAGGGCGGAAGAGCCTGGAGAGAGAGTACAGGGTTCAAGGAACTGGCTTTGCAGGCGGCAGACCCAGTTCAATCTCCAGCAGCCCATATGGTCCTGCCAGGTGTGACCCCCAAGTACAGAGCTAAGAGTAAGTGCTGAGCATTGCCGAGTGTGGCACCCACAACACCCCCTCAAAACAATTCAGCAGGCGAGAACTACAGGTTGTCTCAGTATCTTGGCCCCAAAAATCATGTCCCTGAGGAAAGTGTAAGATTCTGGTCCCTGAATGCATCACTGGAACCAGCCCAGGGACTTCCAGCTTGTCGGGAAATTGAGAGGAGCTGGGTGGGGCAGAGAACATCTGACCGCTGGGACCTATTTTGAGCACCAGGGAACTGTGAGAGCCGCATGGTCACAATGACAAGGCGTCTGCCCCAAGCTCCTGATGGCCTCACTCCTGCTCTTCAGGGCAGGCACAGACGTGGGCACTAGTCCGCAGCTTCCTCTTGCAGGTCTTTTTCTGGCTCACAGACACTGTGTGTGTTTGGTGTGTGTGTGTGTGTGTGTGTGTGTGTGTGTTTGTGTGTGTGTGTTGTGTGTGTGTGTGTTGACCCATCCATATGTACTGGGATTGAACAAAAGTGCTTTTATTGGCCCCCTGGCCCTTCTCCCAGGTCAGAGAGAGAAGTCTGAGGTGTTCCCGGGCTCTGACCCTGGGTGGAGGGAGACAGAGGGGAGGGGGAGGGCCCCAACAGGCCATGGGGAGAGTCACCGTGGGAACAGGGGCAGTGGGAGCCGAATCTCTCCGTCCTCGGGTGTCCTGCCCTGTCCTAAGAACCAAACGTCCGCTGACTCGCCTGCAGAAGATGGGGTCACAGGCCGGCCTGCAGGGAGCCAGCCCACCCCAGCCCCCGGGTTAACGCTCCTCAGGCTCAGATGCACTCAGAGAAGCACGTGGGCACCGAGAGATGAGCCAGAATCAGAAAGACGTCCGGGCTTGGGAAGGCGGCTGACGCTAAGGATTCTGGGAGCTCAGAGTTGCAACCAAGGGGGCGGGGGTGCTGGAGCAGCAGCTCAGTTATCAGCATCTCGGTGGAGCGATGGCAAGTGGCTCTGGGACCTTCCCAGCTGACATGGCCCAAATCCCAAGGAAGACGCTGGACAAAGGGATGCTTGAGAAAAGTCTACCGCTGCTGCCCGAGCCCGCCTCACCGGAGGGCTGGGGGCTGGCCCTCATGGCTAAGAGCAGGAAGGAGGGGAGAGGAAGAGTGGCTGGTGATGCCACCAAGGACAGAGATGGGTCACCCTCGCGGGGACAGTGCCATGGGTGCTTCTGAGGCGGGGGTTCTTTGACAAGGGCAAGTCCGGGGTCAGTGTTGGGTTGGATCACCTGTGCTCTTCAACATGTCCAGGGGACAGCACCTCACTGGGTCAGCACCTGAGGCAGAGGAAGTGGCATAGTGACCAGAGGAGCAATGGCCTGAGGGAAAGCAAACCCCCATAGCAATAGAAATAGAAATATCTGTGGGGCGGTCATGGGTCCCACTCAAAGATAAAAGCCTGCCGCTAACCCCCCTCTGAAAAGGAGTCGATATTCTTGTTTTTCTTCTTTTGTTTGGGGCTATGCCTGGCAGTACTCAGGGGTTACTCCTGGATCTGCACTCGGGCATCTCTCCTGCCAGGGCTCGGGGAACCATAGAAGATGGAGCCTGGGTCCACCACGAGCAAGGCAAGTGCCCTCCCACTGTACTCTCTCTCCAGTCCATCTTTCCTTACCCTTATTGTTTCATCTCAGTTTCCATACCTTAATCTTCTTCATCTTTTAATCACTTTCACTACCTTCCTCTTGTACATATCTTGATCTGTTTCCTAGGATGGAATTTAAAAAACTAAGATACAAAGTCTATGATTTTGTATCATAGAACAAATCATAGAGAGAAATGAATATATATGCATATATATGTATGTGTATATATATATATGTATAGAAGTCTCACAATGGAGACATTACTGGGCCCGCTCGAGCAAATCGATGAACAATGGGAGGACAGTGCTACAGATATATATGCCTCTCGAAGAGCCCAGAAAGCTACTGAGAGTATCCCGCCTGCACGGCAGAGCCTGGCAAGCTACCCGTGGCATATTCGATATGCCAAAAACAGTAATAATAACGGGTCTCATTCCCCTTACCCTGAAAGAGCCTCCAATACAGCACCATTGGGAAGGAAAAGTAAGGAGAGGCTGCTAAAATCTCAGGGCTGGGACAAATGGAGACGTTACTGGTGCGTAAATCGATGAACAAGGGGATGATAGTGATACAGTGAAGATACAAACATTCACTCCTAATTTTTCGGCCTCCCTGCTGTTATGCATCAGCGTCGCTAGGTGGTGCGACCATTTGTGAAGCCACTTTTTGGGTTACTTTTTTTTTTTAAACCTGTGGGATATTTAATTAATTTATTTTTTGGTTTTTGGGCCACCCCTAGTAGTACTCTGGGCTTACTCAGGACTCTGCGCTCAGAGATCACTTCTGGCGGGCTCAGGGGACCTTCAGGGATGCCGGGGATTGAACCCTGGTCGGCTGTGTGCAAGGCAAATGCTCTATCTGCTGTACTACTGCTCCAGCCCCAGGGGAGAGGGAATCCCCTCAACCCGTCAGTCAGGTGAGGACCAACAATCGAATACACCTTCTAGCTTGCCTTTGACAACTGCTTTTCTCAGAGTTCCCTCCCATAGCACCCCTTCACTGCCGTCCCACTCCTCCCAAGAGTCGTGAGTAGGCAAAATGATAGGGAGGCTGATGCTTTGGTTCAAGCCCTTCCGGAGCGCGAACCCTTTCAGCTTCCTCTCTTGGCCCCACACTGAGTGTGGCTGCCACACTCAGGGCTTCAGTGTTTCTCCTCTGAGCCTTTTTCTTCACACTTCAGAACCCCCCACCCGTTTATTTCCTAACTCAGGCTCTCACTTGCTCTCGGAGGAGGCTGCTGATTCTGGGCGTTCTGAAACCTTCTTCTGGCCGTTTCCTCAGATGGAGGCTTGAGTGTCCCGCAGCAGAAGCAGCAACAGAAGCAGCAACAGTAGCAGGTGAGCAGACAGCACAGGAAGAGAAGCGTCTAAAAGGCAGAGGAGGGTCGGAGACAGAGGACGCAGGAAGGGCTGTTCACCCTGCATGCAGCCAACGCGGGTTCGATCCCCGGCATCCCATTATGGCAGTCCCAACCCTGCCAGGAGTAATTCTTCCTGAGTATGGAGCTAAGAGCAACCCCTGAGCACCACTGGGTGTGGCCCACCCAAAACAAACATTAAAATAAAAAGCAGGGGCTGGAGCGATAGCACAGCGGGAAGGGCGTTTGCCTTGCACACAGCCAACATGGCCGATACAGGTTCGATTCCCAGCATCCCATATGGTCCCCCGAGCACCGCCAGGAGTGATTCCTGAGTGCATGAGCCAGGAGTAACCCCTGAGCATCGCCGGGTGTGACCCAAAAAGCAAAATAATAATAATAATAATAAAAGGCAGAGGAAATGACCTCAGTCCCACAAGCTTCTGTTTCTGTCTGAGCTCATTGGAGGAGTGAAGGTCTCCCCCATCCTTATTCTTTTTATTTATTTGTTTATTTATTTATTTTGCTCCGGTCACACCCGGAGATGCACAGGGGTTATTCCTGGCTTTGCACTCAGAAATTACTCCTGGCAGTGCTTGGGGAACCAGATGGGATGCTGGAGATCGAACCTGGGTCCACCTCGTGCAAGGCAAAAGCCCTACCCGCTGTATTATGGCTCCAACACCCCCATCCTTATTCTTAAGGAACTAGGAAAGAATCGGGTACCTTGAACCACCAACTATTCATCATAAAATAGTACTTGACGCCCTCTTCGCCGAAGTGATCATATATATAGATCCCTAGAGAGCCGTGCTTGTCGTAGATCTTCCTCTTCTTCGGGTCGCTCAGGATGGAATGGGCGGTATTGATCTCCTTGAACGTTTCTGCCGCGAGAGGATTCCCTGGATTCTTGTCTGGGTGATACTTCAAGGCCAGTCTCCTGCCCAGGCAATGCCCAAAAGAATAGTGGGAAGAGGACGAAGAGTGCCAGGAAAGGGGGCTGTGGGGATGAAGGATGGATGGGATGGCCACGGAGCTGGAAGAGGAGAGTGCTCCGTGCCAAGGAGCCCCTGGGAAAGGACAGCCCAACCAGTTCCCTTCATGCTGCTCCTCGGAGGGTGGTCCTGTCCAACCCCCAAGTGCAGACTGGGGATCGAACCAGCGATCAGAGAGAGAAGGTCAGAGGGGGTGTTTTCAGGCTAGCAGGGGGCTGGGGCTGAGGGTGAACCTGTAGGCCTTTTTGACGTCTTCGGGAGAAGCCCCCTTCTTCAGCTCCAGCACAGTGTAGAGGGTGCTCCCAGTTTTTGACAGCCGGCGGGCCGCTTCTTCTACATTAGCCATGACCTGGGGCCGGGAAGAAGACGACTTACACAGGCAAGGACACTGGAGGTGACCTTCCAGTGACAGAAAAGCCATGCCTCGGGGCCTCCTGGGCAAATGATGTCTCAGGGACAAGTCTAAGACAGCAATGGTGGAGGCAGGGGGCCGGTCTGTTACCAGCAGAGAAGACATTCGCGTTCATGTATTCCCAAAGGGGCTTTCTCTCTCCTCGGCTCAGCCAGCGCCTCGCCCTGCCATGGCGTCTCACAAGATTTGCAGGACAAAGTGACTCTCAGCAAAGAGAGCAGCAGAATCATCCAATTCTCCAGCGGATTTGGATGAAAACTGGCAATAAACTCCGGTATCACTCATATGGCCAGAAGGAGCTGTTGGAGAAGAGCCCCGCTGAGTGCATGAGGGGATGAGGGGCTGCCCAGTTTGTCTGGGGTTTGTTTTGTTTTGTTTGGGGGCCACACCTGGCAGTGCTCAGGAAATAACTCCTGGCTCTGCACTTGGGGATCACTCCTGCTAGGCTTGGGGGGTACCATATGGGATGCCAGGGATCGAACCCAGGCCAGCCACATGCAAGGCAAATGCCATACCTGCTGTACTGTCTCCCTGGCCCCTGGCAAATGAGTGTGTGTGTGTGTGTGTGTGTGTGTGTGTGTGTGTAGGTGTGTAGTAGTAGTAGTAGTAGTAGTAGTAGTAGATGGGTTCAGTCGCCAACACATAGAGTTTGAAAAGAGACGTGGCTTGGTTCTGAGTGGCAGGTTTGATCCCCAGTGCCACCCCTGCCTGGGGGCCCGTTCTGGAGTCTGCCTTCGCGATCTCCAGGATTGTGACTGGGGAAACATTGCCACCAGGGGTGTGCTAGCACTGCAGCCAAGCGGGGGAGCTGGTGACCCCCCCCCTCCCACACACACACATCATGATAACAATAACAACCAAGAGATGGGCGGGGCAGGAAAGGAAAGAAATCAGATTTCCCAGCATCCTGGGGCTCCTTCGGACAGTCCTCATGGGCCAGCAGAAGGCGGAAGCCAGGGTGAGAGATGGGCTTGGTCCAGCAGCCCACTGGGAAGGGGTGGAGCTGGGGAGCCTGGGAAGATCGGGGCTACTCAGGTCCTGCAGAGGTTGGGGGAGGGATCCCCCAGGCCCTCTTCAGTCAGGCCTGAGAGGCTTGTCAACCCTCCCAGGCCTGGGGCAGGAGGGGGCGGGGGGCGGGAATGAGAAAGGAAGGGAACAGGGGTGACTTGGGGCCCAGGGAGGGAATCAGGAGCAGAACCCGGGACAACAGCAGCGTTTGGGAGTCCAGGACTCGGGACAACCCAGGCTCCAGGCTCCGAAGGGGCCGCTGGTGCTCCCCAGCCCCGGCCCCGCGGACTCTGTACCCCGACTCGCTGTTCAGTGCTGGGGCCCGCACGCCACTTCCGCCAGGCTGTGAAAATTCACAGCGCCGGGCCCAGGGGGCTACTGCGCCTGCGCACGCATGCGCCCAAGCGCCTGGGCGCTTCCGGAAGAACAGGAGGCCAAACTGGGTGCGCCCCGGGTCTTGTTTCACGCGGGAGAGCACGTGGAGTGTGGCGTTGCCTTGCTCTGGGCTTGGCCAGCCGCCGGGGGCAGCATCCAGGGCCATCCAGGTGCCAGGGGGAGGCAGCCGTCCTCCCGATTGCACTCTGGACGTGCAGATCAGCCAGAGGAGCGGGAAGAGGCTATTCTTTTTCTCCCAGTCTTTTTCAGAATCCACTTGATCCTTTCGTTCCCTGCCTGCCCCCCCCCCCCCCCAGAAAGTGCATCCACGGAGACCCACCTCGAATGTCAGCACTCCCGAGAATCCTTATCGCGTCCCCTCCGCTGTGCCCACCTCGCCCCGACAGAGCCTTCGTTGTTGGTTCTTGCTTCCCTGTGAGTCAGTGCCTTGCGGTTCCAGGCCCCACCGTTCTTCAGAAACTTCCTTTAAATACGCGGCTGTACCCCGAAGAGGCACCACCTCCTCTGTACTATATAGTGGTGCAACAAGACTGCACTTGCTAGACTCCAGATGGGATGGGTGGGTTCTGTCAGGCTATGTTAAATTGGGGCCAGAGAGTACAATGGGTAGGGCGCTTGCCTTGCATGCTGTCTGACTGGGATTCAATCTCGAGCATCCCCTATGGTCCTCCAAGCGCCACCAGGAGTAATTCCTGAGTGCAGGGCCAGAAGTGACCCCTGAGCATCATTGGATGTGACCCAAAAACTAAGAACAGACATATGAAGTTATTCCAACCTTAATAATAACTTTATAATAAAAAATAATTTTGGCCACACCCCACAGTGCTCAGGGGCTATATCCTAGCTCTGTGCACAGCAGTGAGTGACCCCTGGCAGTGTTGGGGAGAGGGGCACATATGAGGTGTTGGGGATCAAACCAGGCTCAGTCGTATGCAAGGCAAATGCCCGACATAATATCTCTCCAACCCTATAATGAAAAATTTAATTGACAGATGTTTAAATCCCCACCCCTCCTTCTAGGCTATACATTTCTCAAAGTGAGATATTGGATCAAAGGGTTTTGTGGCTCTTTTTTTTGGGTCACACCTGGCGATGCACAGGGGTTACTCCTGGCTCATGCACTCAGGAATTTCTCCTGGCGATGCTCAGGGGACCATATGGGATGCTGGGAATTCAACCTGGGTCGGCCGCGTGCAAGGCAAACGCTCTACCCGCTGTGCTATAGCTCCAGCCCCGTTCTGTGGCTCTTGGTACATAGTCTAACCCTCTTCCCAGAAAGGACCTAAAAGGACCAGTTTCCGCCCTGCCACTGTGCCTGGCACCTGTGGGCTCCCTGTTCCCCTTCAGCTCCTGTCACCTCCTGCAGGAGGCAGTGTTTGTGCCTTTTAGAGCACAGCTCCCAGACGTTTCTTTTTTTTTTTTTTTTGTTTTTTTTTTTTTTGGCTTTTTGGGTCACACCTGGCGATGCACAGGGGTTACTCCTGGCTCTGCACTCAGGAGTTACTCCTGGCGGTGCTCAGGGAACCATATGGGATGCTGGGAATCGAACCCAGGTCGGCCACGTGCAAGGCAAATGCCCTACCTGCTGTGCTATCGCTCCAGCCCCTATGCTTCTTTTCTTGAGAGAGTGGCACTCAGTTCCTTGTAGAGCATGTCACTGGAGAAGCCTTATCATTTCAGTAATCTCTCTCTGTTCCCCTCTTTGACTTTTTTTCTTTTTCTTTTATGTTTTTTGGACCATAATCAGTGGTGAGCAGGGGTTATTCCTGGCACCTACCCATTGTAACTTCACCCAGACCCCACCATCATTCATTTCCCTCTTCTTGGTGGCTGTATGTGACCTGTCTGTGTATAACCCAGTGCTTCCACCCAGAGATGGGTTCATTTGACCAAACAGGGGCATTACTAGGCCTGAATTAGTTGATTTCTACAAATCTGTGATCCCTGGTAGATAATAGAGATAAAAATCTTTGTCTTAACCCACCCCCTTCCTAGGCTCTCTGTCCGTGAGTTTAGAGGTTCATCATCCGACATATACTTTTGGGGTGTGTGTGTGTGTGTGTGTGTGTGTGTGTGTGTGTGTGTGTGTGTACTGTATCAGCTTTCTCTCACTAGCCTCCCATCTTTCATCCCCATCCCAGGGTAACAGACCTGGCCCTGGCCCAGCCAGCAAAATGCTCAGCTCTCCCTTGCCCAGAGAGAGAGGAGGGCCAGGGGAGTAAGGTCCTGGACCTATCCCATACCTAAGTCGAGCCTGCACCTCGGCCTTAGTTCGAGCTCCTGCAGTCCCAGCCCCCTGGCTCCTGCCACCCCTGCTTTCCTGTCCGTTTTGTGCTTTTTCACTCTGTTGTGGTGCCCAGGATGGCACTCAGGGCCTCACCATCAGGCCCTAGGCTTCCGCTGAGCCCCATCCCTGGCCCCTCTGGTCGACTTTGAAGACTTCCTGTTCCTTCTTGGTTCACAGCCTCTGGCCAAGGTCACTTTCGCTGTCCAGGGATTCCTCCCCAGCTGACTTGCCATTCTTGGGGGGCCCCAGTGCCTCACCTCCCCAGAGAACCCTTCATTGACCTCCTCCCCCACTCACCTCACCTCGGCCCCAGTAACATCCTTTCTTTTTATTTTTTTTTCCTTGCTTTTTGGATCATACCCTGCGATGCACAGGGGTTACTCCTGGCTCTGCACTCAGGAATCACTCCGGGCAGTACTCAGGGAACCATGTGGGATGCTGGGAATTGAACCCGGGTTGGCCGCGTGCAAGGCAAACTTCCTACCTGCTGTGCTATCGCTCCAGCCCCCCAGTAACATCCTTTCCACCCTCACCTTACTCTATGTTTATTTGCATGTTGCTTTCCTTTCATTTCCTCTATTTGGGGAACATATCCAAGGTCCACACCTGCTGGTGCTTGGGGTATTCCTGGCTCTGGGCTCAGGAGAGGTCCCTGGTGGTGCTCGGTGAACCATATGCAGTCCTGGGGATCAGAGTGAGCCGCATGCAAGGCCTTACCCCGCCCCACCCCCACCCTGTGCTATCTCTGGGGCCCTCTTTTTTTTTTGGGGGGGGGCAGTCACATCAAGCAGTGGTCAGGGCTTACTCCTGGCTCTGTATTCAGGAGTTACTCTTGGTGGGCTGAGGGGACCATACGGAATGCTGGGGAATCGAACCTGAGTCAGCCTAGTGCAAGACAAACGCCCTACTCGCTCTACTATGCCTCTGGCCCTGGCCCTCTCTTCCTTAACAAGGTGATGTTGGCTTACCAGACTATAAGCCTTCGCACCTCCTGCTAAAGTATGTTACTGGGGTCAGGGAGAGAGCTCAAAGGGCACGCAGAGACCTAGGCCCCGGCTTAATCCCTGGCACATCACTGGGTAGTGGCCCCCAAGCATAGAGTAAGGAGTAACCCCCAAGTGTCATTGCATCTGACCCCCCAAAATGTGTGTTAACCATACCACCACACCACCCTCCACCTTCATCCACTAGACACCCCACCCACCCACCCAGCCTGTCAATTTTCCCCCACCTTAGTTCAGCT